TTTAGTAAAATATTGTTACCTCAATGGATGATAAAGGAACCTTTACACAAGATATTTAATGAAATGATGAACAGTGAAAGTACTGCTTTTAAAACATTGGTCATGACTTCACCTGATAAATCTCAACCACAAGAATGGAATAATTTGGAAATGTTGAAACCTGAGGGCCCAAGTTATAATGGAATCACCAACTCTAGATCAATGGCAAAATTAGGTGCTATGATGGCAAATGGTGGTAAATCATTACCAATCAAAAACAAAAACAATAATAAAAGTAAATTTTTATTAAAAGAACCTGATTTAATGTCATCAGAAACTTTTAAACTTGTAACAAAAAAATTAGCACCAGAATTTGACAATGTACAGTCTAACCTTGTCACAGTGAATCTATGGTACCAGCCAAAAAAATTCGCTGTGATGAGAAATTCACTGTGACAAATTTGGTGATCTGCAAAAAAAAAAAATTTAACGAACAATAATATATAATAATAATAATACATTTTATTATAAATTAATAACAAATGATGATAAAAAATAATAAATGAATAATATGAATAATACATGCGAAAATCAAATATCTAATTGTTGAAATAATTTGTAATATTTGGTTGTATTAGTTTTTCATTATTTAATAATGTCACTTTTCTTTTTAATGATTTAAATGCTTTGAAATCTTTATAATCTATTTCTAAATCACCTTGTTGAAGAAAATTAAAAGCTGTCTCAAAGGCATTTACAGCATCTTTTGTTGAAACTTTAGGTATAGTGTTATTCTCAACAACAACTTCTTCTGCTGGATTAAAAGAAGCAATTATTTCTTCTTCTGTTACCATCTCATTATTTATTTGAAAATCATCAATGGTAATATATTCTTCTGCCTCTAATGGTGTGGTAAATGGCAATTGATTGATTAAATTATTAATATCAATTCTTTCTTGGTTTGAAATCTCACTAACTATATTTGTTGAGTTTTCAATTTCATAATTAGTTGATGTTTCTTCCAGAGGGAGAATCCCAGTTTTCTTCCAACAATTAATAATGGTAGTTGGTGTTACATTATCCCAAGCTTTAGCAACATACTTTATTGCTTTTTTTATATCAATGGGTTTTGATGAAGATGCAGCAGAATTAGAAGATGTAGTAGGATTGAGGTATGAAATATGTGAATCATAATTGCTTATTTTTTTTTCAAGAAATATTTTTTTATAATGTGACTATAATATACAAACATTAGTATTAACATAAAATAAATAATTTAAATTTAAATTTAAATTTAAATTAGGTAATTGAATAAACTAACTTTGAAGCTGTGTATTATTCCCACATCACATGGTTGCAGGTGTGCAGTTACATTTGGTGGAAAACGATGAACCCTTATGTTTGTTAACTGTAAATATTTTGTGTTACATCTATTTTGGAACTGGTTCCATGAACCAGTTCTAACGGTTTGGTTTGGTTCTATTGTAACCGGTTCCATGGAACCAGAACCGAACCGCCCCATCCCTAACTATGATCATTTCTAAATTTAAGAAAAATATTACTAAATTTAGACTAGCTCTTGTCTATTGTATCTAAATTTGGCAGTAAGAAAACTAAAATCACGTGAAGTCCTATTTTTATTACATTTTTGGACGAATTACAAAATTGCTATTTTGAAATTTGGTCACATGGCACAGCAATAGGAGGTCTTTAGACCAAGCCAACCATATTACATTTTTGAATGAATGACAAAATTGCTATTTTGAAATTTGGCTGCATGGAGCAGCAATAGGAGGTCTTTAGGCCAAGCCAACCATATTCGAATTATTCATTTTATTTGAATTATTTGTTTTGTTTGTTTTGTTTGTTTTGTTTGTTTTGTTTGTTTTGTTTGTTTATTCATTTTATTCAAATTATTCATTTTATTCATTTCATTCATTTTGTTTGAATAGAAATCCTAAGGATGTTCTACTTTTTCAATGCCTTTGAGTAATTAAGTCTGTGCCTCAGAAAAACTCATTCACTGATTGTTATTAGATTAGAAATTAGTGGGTTTGGTTCTAAATAAGCAGAGTGCAAAAATTAGAATACCAGGAACTGCCAAATAGTTTTTAGCCTAAGCTTTGAACAGTTCAGTTCAAACCAAAAATTTCAGTTTGACTTTTTAGAATCCAAAATTGAACCAAGATTCTTTGGTTTGAACCAAACCGTTCAGAGCTTTATCAATTAGTAAAATTTGTGTCATTTTTCCTCCACCAATCTCTATTTAGAGTTTGCTCATTCATAGACAGATCATCAATTAAATTTATCTGCCAAAAAAGCAAATTATCTAAAAAATTTCCTATAGGTATGTACGAATAGGGCCCCAGAAACTTCCAATTGAGGTCCCAGGCAAACCAAGGGTAAAAAACATATTAATATAGAAAGTGAAAGATGTCACTGTTATTGATGGGGTAAAATTTTTATTATTATGGATATATTAAAAGTTCCAAGGCTTTTAAGGGTAAAAATTTTTTATGTCCAATGAAAAAAAATGGGTAAAGTTTTTTAGTACACAATAATAGAAATTTTTTTAAAAAGTCATGATATAAAAGGGTAAATTATTTAATAGTGTTAACTTATTAATCAAAAGATTCATACATAAATAAATTTAGTATCATAACTACACATCTAAACTCGATAAGTCAGATGCAGAAATCAATTGTTTAAAGTACTTTATAATATACAGTAAATAAATGTCCAACTTATTGGGTTTAGATGTGTATTGATTAAAAAGTTATAAGATAATAAAAATAAAGAAATATTTATTTGAGTTATTTGTTTTATTCATTATGGATTTGAGTATTTGAATTGCATTGAAAGTTTATTCAAATAAAACAAATACAATAATTCAAATAATTCAAACAAAACAAATAATGAATAAACAAATGAAATGAATGAGCAAATATTACAAATAGAACTCTACTTGGAAGCAAGGAGCTTTAGAAATATTTAACCAATTAAGCTATTGGTTTATTAAATCAAGCCAATAGTTAACAATGCTTTATTAAAAAACAGGATAAACATCGGCATTTTCAACATTTACTAATAGGATTTTAGAATATTATTATGTTGACACTTTCTTTTTAAATACCGAGAAAGATCTCGAACCATTACACAGCATAAAAAGATCATCTTTTGATTTCAAATGCCACGGTTGATGTAAAAAAAAATAATATTTACAAAAAAAAAATGCAATACAACCCTGTAGTTGTTGAACCACTTATGTAAGTCAAAAAAACATTCATTTTTAAAAATTTTCCATTTATCTAAAGAATAAATTCTTTTATCAATAATGTTTTAGATTATGCTGTCAATGTGGCATAGAGGTTTCACCAAATCCTTCAAATATGTGTATCAACTGCATTCGAAATGAGGTTGATATCACTGAAGGAATTCCAAAACAGGCGATTATACATTTTTGTCGTAATTGTGAAAGATATCTACAACCACCAACTATTTGGGTTAGTGCAGAACTTGAAAGTAAGGAATTATTGGCCTTGTGTGTAAAGAAATTAAAAGGCTTAAATAAAGTACGATTGATTGATGCCGGATTTATATGGACAGAACCTCATTCAAAAAGAATTAAACTTAAACTCACTATACAAAAAGAAGTATGACCCATTAATATTAATATTAAAATTAAAAAATGACATAATAATATTAGTAATAATAAAAATAACTTATTTCATTTAAAAGGTTTTTGCATCAACACTTATACAACAAATTTTTGAAGTAGAATTTGTTGTCAATCATCAACAATGTAATGATTGTACTAAAATAATGGCAAAGAATACATGGAAGGCATTAGTTCAAGTTAGACAAAAAGTCAATCATAAAAGAACTTTTCTATTTTTAGAGCAACTTATACTTAAACATCATGCTCATAAGGATACAATCAATATAAAAGAAGTTAAAGATGGTCTTGATTTCTATTATTCTAATCGATCTCATGCCAACAAAATGGTAGAATTTTTAAATTCTGTTGTTCCTGTCAGGTAAACAACAATATTATTATTATTATATTACATATTATATTATATCTATGATATTAATGGTGATTTTATTCTTAGAACTAAAACTTCTGAACAACTTATTTCAACTGATATTCATAATAATACTTCAAATTATAAATTTTCACATTCAGTAGAAATAGTCCCAATATGTAAAGATGATTTAATCTGTTTACCATTGAAAATTTCTCGTTCACTTGGAAATATTAGGTTTGGTTTGTTTCAACAGCATTATTTCAATGTTATGATAAAATTTAAAAACAATTTAATTTTTTACAATAAAAATATACATATATAGTCAATTGGTTATTTGTTATCGTGTTGGAAATTCTATACATGTTATGGATCCAAATACACTGGCAGGTAAATTACAATAGAAATAATAATAATGATTTTGGATAATATAATAACAATAATGATTATATAATTATTAGTATCTGAACTTGCAACTGCAACATATTGGAGGACACCATTTAATGCTTTGGCATCAGCACAAAGTTTAACAGAATATTATGTGTTGGATGTTGAACCTTTACCTCAAGTTCGTGGAAAGGTAAATATTTTTATGTAACAAAAAAAACTAATACCAAAAATATATTTTATTATTTAATAACTAAATCATTACAAAAAATAGTACATGTTGGCAGAAGTTCAAGTAGCAAAATCAACAGATTTTGGTAGAAATGATCAAACATATTTTGTCAGGACACATTTGGGCAATATTTTGAAATCAGGAGATTTGGCATTAGGATATGATCTAACTTCATCAAATTTTAATGATAATAATTATGATTTATTGAAACAAAGTGAAATACCTTATGTCATTCTAATCAAAAAATCATATTCAAATAAACGTAGAAAAAATAAACAAAGAAATTGGAAATTGTCATCTTTAAATAAAGAGAAAGAAATTGATAGTAAGAAGCAAGATTTATTGAAAAGTGAAATGGAATATGAATTGTTTTTAAGAGAATTGGAAGAAGATAGTGAACTTAGACAAAATGTTAATTTATATAAAGTTAATAATGATAATACAACCAATAATATTAATAATAATGACCAAGCTAATGATCAAATGGAAGTTGATGAGGACAATCTTGAGGATGATTTACCTGAAATTGGTATAGAAGAATTATTAGAAGATCTCACTCTTGAAGATTAAAAATAATTTTGTTTTTTTTTTTAAATTTTGTACTATCCTTTTGTCCCATTCATTACATAGAAAATTTTTATTATCATTTTTATAAATTGAATTTTATTATAAGCACTTTAATTTTTGTTTTTTAAAAAAAAAATAATATATATATATATCAAGTTCAATCATATACAAGGTCTTAAAATTCATACCATCTTTAATTCTCAAAAATCTAATTGTTGACTAAAAGGATTATCTTTATATGGGACATTCTGCAACAAAACCAGACAAAATGAACATTTGTATTACCAAGAATTTCAGGGGTCAATAATGTTTGTTTGACACAGGGACAATGTTTTTCTGCGGTGATGAAACACTAATTCCATCTGTGCTAAAAACAAATTCCACATGCATGCCATGCATTAAAAAACACTATTCTGCATAATTTCCATTATAATATTTATGCATTCTGCGGTTTATACAGTTGTCATAATGTTGCTGCTTGTGGGATAGCACCACCTTCTTTACAATGTTTTCTAAAAAAAATTAAGTAACAAATCAACTTTTTCTAAAGGGATATCTGCTATAGCAAAGGCTTCAATTAAATCATGAATTATAATTTTTTTTAGACTTAGGAGAAGAAAGAGAGGTAACAAGTGTTTGTTGAAGTTGACATTGTTTATTTTCATACAGATTTTTCTTAGCTTTATGTGTTTTACTATTAAGGTGGTCATCAACCATTGACTTTTGTATCCAATCAACAGAATGGTCACAAAAATTACAAAATAAAATTCCATTGTCAATGCGAAATTCACCAGGATTTTCTTTTACTCTAGTATTGCAGTCAGGGAATATACCAAATATGGAATTACCAAATACTGTAACGATCGACCTTCTAGAATTTCATAGAATATGATAAACAATTGTGTTACACATGTATAAAATATATTAATTATATAATATAAATAAGAAGATTTTTATTAATTATTCAAAGAGGAATACTGTATTCTAATAAAGATTATATGGACAGGATATTTGCTTTATAAAAAAAAAATCCTCAAAATTAATAAATATTAAAATGTTATATTTAATAATTTTCAATTTTTTGCTATGTAGCAATCAAAATAAATATATACATATTTTTTACTTATCCTTAATATACATAATTTTTTTAAGTTTCCCAGATTCATCAACTTATACTTCCTCACTATTATGAAGTTCTCTGATTTGTTGCAGAATCAATAGCAATTCTTTTTTTTTTGATTTTAATCCTTTAAACTGTGGCAAATTGACCTCATTCAGGGTTCCAATCAATGATTCAATGATTAACACTAATTCTCTATTTGTCATTGAACTTTCTTCTGATTGTTTCTCTTCTTATTCAGCAGTGACAGGAATGGGACAAGCAATTTCTGGTTGCTTTTTTGAAATTAATTTCTCTCTGATGTAATCAATACAATAAGCTTGAGCAGTAACACTAAAAGACTTCATTGCCTCACTTAATCTACAACTTTTATCTAAACTTCAAAGACAGGATTACTTCTAAATGGATTTAAAAAACCAGCATTCCTCAATCCTACTCTAAAACATTCTGACTCTCTTTAAAAATCTGGACATGAATGAGAACCACTGCTTTCTTGATCTTTATATCCAATCATTTCAAATAATTTTTTTTGGAGCTGCTTAGCAAAAGAAAGGTTTGTAAAAAAACATACTGTATATAAAAATTAATATCAATATTATACTTACCATCATAAATTTCATACAATTCCTAGCTGACATTTCCTAATGTTTCTGAGTTGGTATTGGTGGAATTAGTGTTTTATGTGTACAGTCCCTGGCGAAATTAATGGCAGTACAATGAAATATTATTTTTGCTAAGTTTTTATTAAGTAAATCGATCTTTTTATATTAAATAAAGTTGTTCACAAT